TGGTGAGACTAGAAGTTAAGAATTAGTCCAGCATTCTATTCCTTTTGGAAAAGTTGTTTCTTGAGAGATTCCTCGGAGCGAATGAATTCTACATCCAAAAAAGATAAATGTCTGTTCTTTCACACACACATAGTAAATTTTACTTTTTCATCCATTTCCTTCATAAGGATCATGAAGTTGTCTGATTTTTCTTTTACATTTTTCAATTTGGTTAATTTTTGAGGATCTCTATGGTTTCTATGTCAAGAGCAACTGAGAACAAATTCACTAATTTGTCTTTATTTCTTGTTTTCATTGCGAGATCCGTTTTCCTAGAGGCATCTACATGTTATGGGATGGTTGGACCTTGGGCCGCCTATAGATCCCATATTTATTCAGTTTCATCTGGTCCCTTTTTTGATTAAGTCTGATGTATTTTCTTACCTTGGGTCTGCCATCTTCTTTGGCTTCAGGAAATCCTCGAGGATGAGGATCTGAGTAAAATCATGCCCAAGTCTAGATTCAATACCTAAAAAGCCAAATAATTTTCCTCTCTCCCTATTATATGTCGCATTAGATTTTTTCAAAGAAGCTTGATATAATGTAACATTGACCTTATTGGAATGATATTTTATCATAAAATTGCAAACACTAGGAGGCATGCCATAACTTTTACAACAGTTCGGTTGAGCTGAAGTTTCGACCTCGCTTACGCCTCATCCGCAACATGTAATCTTAGCATTTTACCATTACGCCGCATTGCCATGAGTGCCCTTGCGTCACAGGACAAATACGGATTTCAAGGAAGACCAGGCCTATTCCATATCACATTTATAGTGGGATCACCGATGATACAAACTTGTACTTTGCCATTAGAATCGATTACATTACTTATATTGACATAAAGTAAGTTCTGAAACAATAAATAAATCTTAAACAAGGGAAGAATCTTCCGTTTATAATTAGGGCTTTGAGACATGTCATATAAGAGAAAAGAATGCCTTCCTTCAAAAAAAGATCACTGTACTTTATTTTGTTCTCTGTCGCTATCTCAATCTCCTGGCGTGCCAGTTCTGCTTCACCTTCTAACTTGTGCACCGCAATTTCCAGCTGCTTATCCCGTTCGCGCTTCAAGTGTTCACGAAGTTCACGCTCACGGCTACTTGCTTGCGTCTGCCAGACTGTTGTTATGCGTTCTTCGCATGCCGCTTTCTCACTGGCCGTCTTCGCTTCGATGGCAGTGATTTCCGACTAAGGGAGAAGTTATTAATAGATTACAATTTGTATGAAGCTGCTCACCATTTTAAATAAGAATTAACTCATATTTTATATTAGTCCTCGATCTATTTAAGATTCGTTGTGGTTTTGAGAACCCATCCACTTAAAGTTATTGCCATTTTAAGAAGATTTTTAGAAAATTTCTCACACAACTTTCTGAAAATCTACTCACTATCAATATTGTAGCTCCAAGTTTGTTTTCAAACTTCTTGATAATTGAATGGAATGAAGATATTTCGTCCCACATATAATTTAGTAGATAGTACTGTGAGATCCTCGCAGGTGCTGTGAACTCTTATTCATCAATCTTAATAAATTCATCAGATTTTTCCAAAGTTAAGTCAATTTTGATATGAATCCACACCAAAATTGCTCATATTGATAGTGGCCTATTATTCGAATTAGCTACATACCTAAAAGAACTTCATTTAGATTTCCAAAATAATTAAGTTGATTATTATAATATTTAATATTTAATATTTAAAGATAAGCCAGTCCTCTACTAGTTCACATCTTTATTTTGACTGGTATTGATAAATAACATATGTTTTGCCACTTAACTCGAAGTCATTGTGATAAAAAAAATGATCGAGGTTTTAAATTAGCAGTATGTCTTTTCTAAAAACTATGTCAACTGCTAGAGGCATAGCCTGCTCTAAGAGGAAAATTATGTCGACTCTGTTGTTATCGATCAAAGTAATGAAGCAGTAAAAATGGCATAAAAATACTTCATGTTGACTGTCTTGTTATAACACTCTGACTTATAGGTTTCTGGTGACATCGTCGCCTTGAGAGTTTACACCCTCTCGCAACTTTGCGTTCAAGTTGAGGTAGATGAACAGTTCGGCCTGCAACCAAGAGCAAGCGGCCCTAATTTGGAATATCCCACTTATTTGTATAGGGAGTAAAGTGAAAAAAATGCACAAAATATAAAGAAAGAATGTCTGGATAAGAGCTTTCATTAGGATCCTTTCTCAAGCAGTCACATAGATTTAGTTACTAGCAAAGATCGTTTCAACTTGACTCGTAGCTATCCTTCTGAATACTCCGTAAAGTGAATAAGCAAAGGTGCAAGATGTTCATATTATCACAAATCTGGGGTATTTAAATGCAGCCAGAGGAGTAGTTAGTGAGATACATAAAACCGAAGAGTCAGAATCAACCCGAATGATCTCATTGAAGATAGCAAAAACTAATTGATTGTTTAAATCATATTAACTTCAGGCCAGAAAGAAGCTAATATAATTACCCTGGATACCCTCTTTCCTCTGGTCTGTAGACAATAAAACCAGGTTGCACACGACCAGGGTGAATAAAACCACAATACTTTATTCTCCTTAACACTAACAAATGATTTTGTGCAAGTTTATTTTTTCATTCATTTTCTTTAGTCTTCAATAGCGGAAGCGAAATGAAATGTTAGCATCAAAGATTAGCTCAAGGGTCATCATAGTTACCTTGTGTTTGTCCTCTAGCTCCTGCCTAATCCTCTCTACCTCCTTACGATGATCTTCAGACAGTCGGCGAAGGGCCTCCGTCTGTTCAGACAGCTTATCATCGAATTCGGTACGCTGCCGGGCCGCGGTTTGTGCAAGCCGATCTCTTTCGGCGCTCACTTCGTCCAAGTGGCGGCGCCTTTGAGCTTCCAACACGGCTCTCTCCTCTTGAAGCATCTTTTCAATCCTGTTGAGCACAATTAAGGCATATTTACACGTTTTAATAAGCATTTGTGCAAGGCGTGTTTATATTTGTAAGTGATAAAGAGAAGCATAAAGATAATAAATTCTTATTAAGTAGCTAGATATGTTATCTTTAACGCAGAGGCGTATAATGAGCTATTTAAATCCTATTAAGAGGATTAGAAATATTGTTTTGATATCAATGTTTTGCCACCTTTAGGCGAGGCAAAACGGAAATTTCGGGATTTATGAGTGAGCTATTTACTATTGCAATAAGTTCTAACTCATTTGGCTAAGTTTACTTACAATGCTGGAAATTCGCCACGGGCATGCAGATAAAAAAATAAGGTGAAGAATTGAATGCCTTATTTTATACATTGGGAAGATGAAGAGTCGAAGTTGTAATAGTATGAATACCACAACGTTAAGTAAAACGACGGAAGATAGGGAAAAGTCACCCAAGATAGGAAAGCATAGAATAGGATAATGGAATTCAAGGGAGCTCGTGAGATAACATGGATGGAATTACGTACATTTTATATGAAATTAAAAAAAGACTAGACGTTGTTTGACCCTGTTTGTACTATTTGGTCATATTGCCAGGAAGACCTAGAGAACGCATATTGTCCAGAGTTCACAATATGCATGATAATGTCCAGAGTCTTCCCTGGACTTGGTACATTTCCAGACGCTTCGCCGGACAAGGTGCGTTCCTCTAGATCTGCCTGCCACTATGACCAAGTTGTGAAAACAAAATCAAACAACGTCTATACAAGGAAAGAAGACAGCAACCATAAAAAAGCCCACATCATCCTGGTCTTAATACTTACAATCAAAAGAAGACTAGTCTCATGGGACTGTCTCGCCAGTGAACGAAGCCAGTTCGTCTTTAGCCTGTTCTGGTTAGTTTAAACTGGACCTTTTGTGCTAATACAATTATTTTAATACAATGAGATGTATTCACCCTATTTCGTGTAAGGTGATGAAGAATTGGTGGTAGAATTTTCCCACAATGATATAAGTTGAGCTGATGTTTCCATTGAATTTCACATAGA